CTTTAGTTCTAATTCTTCTTTACATCACGACTAATGTGAAAATATGTTTAATATGAATGCATAACTAGAGCCTACATCAGATTGTATGCTGTCTTGGAGAGGGGGGAGGAGAGGGATAAGAAGAAAATTTAAAACTCAAAATCTTATAGAAGTGAAGGTTGAAAATTAAAAATAAATAAATTTTTTTAAAAATAGTAAGTGGTTAAAAAAAACACCTCAAACACAGGAAACTGGTAAGATGATGAAAAACAGAAAGGACTGATGTTGAAAGAGTCATGGGAAGGCAGGCACACAGATAAACTTTTAGTGGAGCTGGGAATTGGTACAGCCATTTAGATAACCAATTTGGAATTATTTGAGAAAGGTAACTAATCTCATCATACCCTTTGGCACAGCAAATTCTAAGTTGGTTATTGTGTTCCCCTTACATCTACTCCGGTAACTTCAGGCAAAATCCATTTTTTCATTCTCATTGGAATTGTTTCCTTTTGTGTCTTCAGAATTTCATTTTTAAGCATCTCTCAAACCTCCTAGGCTGAGTTCTGCATGGAGATGACTCACTGGGCCTGGAAAAAGTAGCTGGAAGTCTAGAAGTCAAGTTGTCCCCAGATGAGGCTAACTAAGGTTAGCATAAATAAGCATAAATATTCTTGTATAAAATGGACCTTGAAAACCATCAAGTTTCTAGAAAGAAAAGAGAAAGTCCTTCTGTAGGTCTGCAAATATAATGTGTCTGGTGGATGAAAACTTATGAGCGTTTATGAGAGAAAAATATTCTTTCAACCACAAAGTTCCCTCCTAAAATCTGTACAGTTACCAAGCAGACATAGTCTAGCTGTTTTCATCAAAGACTGTCCTTTTATACACGGTTGTAGTTTGGAAAACTATGCTGATCATGGAGGCGAGGCAAAGGTAAAATGAATGCCAATCAATTGTGGAATGGTGGAAGAAGCCATGGCATAAGGATGCAATAGAATATTATGGCGCCATAAAAAATGATTAATAATAAGCATTCAGATGAACACAGCAAGGCTTATATGAAATGATAAGAGTGAAAAAAAGAACCCAAAGAATAACATATGAAGTAAACTACAGCAATTTAAATGTTAACACTAAAAATCAGTCAAAAGTTTATGAATTTTGGTGAACAATATCAGTCTTAGAGTGCAGGTAGGTGGTACAATGGTTAGAGCACCAGGCCTGGGTGTCAGGAAGATTCATCTTTGTGACTTCAAATCTGGTCTCAGATACTTATTGGCTGTGTGACCCTAGGTAAGTCACTTAACCCTGTTTGCTTCAGTTTCCTCATCTGTAAAAGGAGATGGAGAAGGAACTGGCAAACTATTCCTGCATCTTTGCCAAGAAATCCCAAATGGGGTCACAAAGAGTCAGGCATAACTGAAAAACAGCTGAACAAATCAGTCTTGTTTGTTTTTGCTTTATTTCTTGGTTTTTAGGCAATTGGGGTTAAGTGACTCACCCAGGGTCACACAGCTAGAAATTGTCAAGTGTTTGGTCTGAGGCCGCATTTGAACTCAGGTCCTCCTGACTGTAGGGGCTGTGCTCTATCCACTGCGCCACCTAGCTGCCCCCGAACAAATCAGTCTTAAAGAACTATAAGGAAACCCACTTTCCTCCCCTTGGTAGAAAGGTCAAGACTATGAATGTGGAATTTGACAGTTAGGCTATTGGACGAGGATCTGGGCAGTGACATAGCACAGTGAAGATAGCACTAGACGTGGACTCAGGAAAACCTGAGTTCAAATCTTGCCTCAGACACTTTCTAGATGTGGTACCCTCAGCAAGTCATTTAACCTGTTTGCCTCTATTTTCTCAACAGTACAATGGGGATAAGAATACAACCTACCCCCGGGCTTTGTGAAAATGGTTTTCTTTGTTACAGTAAAGGTTCAAAGGGGGACAGGGGAGGGGATGGGGTTTTAAGGGTAAATGACAGTGGTGTAAAAACAAAAAGCAACATAAAACTTTTCTTTCCTTTTTTTTTTTTAAAGGTAATTGGGGTTAAGTGACTTGCCCAGGGTCCCACAGCTGGTAAATGTCTGAGGCCACATTTGAACTCAAGTCCTCCTGATTTCAGGGCTGGTGCTCTATCCACTGTGCCATCTAACTGCCCCTGAAACTTTTTTTTTTTTAAAGAAAATATGCTCATCTCCGATTTACCTGAGTACCAGTGGGTCAGGATCAACATACCCAAAAGAAACTGTCATCATTCCCTAAGCCTGCTCATCTCTTTGGCATCCCACTATTAGTGAGTGACACCCCTCTCCCACATAAACACACACCCAGCCTCTCAGTCCTCCAGTCACATGTGACTGAAAATGACTAGACTGGCAAGTAAGAAGGATTCCAGAGGACTATAGCTTACCAAAACTTCAGCAAAGTCCCTCATGCTATTTGTGTGCTTCAAATTTTTTTCTTTTGCCTCATGCTATTTGTGCAGAAAAAAATGGAGTTATATGGGCCAGATGGCAGCACAGTAGGGTGAATTTGGAATTGATTGAATGGCCTGACCCAGAGAATAGTCATGAAAAGTTTGACATATGAACTTGAGAGGTCATCTCTGGAGTAGTGCCCTAGGGATATGTGCTTGGCCTTAAAAAACTGGACATTTTTATTGGCGATGTGAATAAAGGTGTAGGAAATGTGCTTATCAAACCTGCTGATGACACAAAGCTAGGCGGGAAAAATGGTTAACACAGCGAACGATAGTTACGATCCGAGCAGATCCTTATAGGCCAAAATGTCGGGCCAAATCTCACAAGGTGAAATTTGGTAGGGATAAAGGTGAAGCATTACTTGGGTTCCAAAAAAATCAATTTCACAAGTATAAGATGGCAGAGATGTGGCCAGGAAAGAGGTCTTCTGAATGAGATCTGGGGTTCTTAGTGGCCTGCAAGCTCAGCAGTGTGATATCGCAGCCCAAAAAGCTAATGGGATTTGAAGTTACATCATGAGAGACATAAGGCCCAGGACTGAGGTCTAGAACTACAGAAATGGCACCACAGACACCAGACTGGAGCCAGAAAGCAGACCTCAGGCAAAGGCTTAGTACAAGGCTGGCTGGGAATCTGAACTGAACTGATCTGAACAGACCAAATGCCAGAAGGACCAGAGACTGGTCCATCAGTCCATCAGGACTGACAGAGAGCCAAGCACATACTCCATGTATGGCATAATGCCTGATCCTCTGCCTAATCCTCTGTCAACTTGAGATACCGCTACCAAGCTGGTGCTAACTGTGAATTTAGTCCAGTTCCTGGGGACCCAGACCTCTTAGCTTCTCAGTTTTTGGAGAGGGATACCATACAACACTGCCCTCCATTATCACAGGACTCCAAAAGATAGAGGCTCCAGGCAACTGGTGACTAAATTTGAAAATGTTGTACCAATTACTCCCAATCACGGTGACTCAGCATCAATGTCTCCCAAAGTAAAAGCCAACTTCACCTGCTACCTCTCCCTGACAGCTAATCCTACCAAACCCCTTCCTTCTTCGCCCTCTCTCTCCAAACCTTTCCTCACTTCTTTCACCTTCGTGTGCTCATGGAAACCTGTTTCTTTAAAAGGCTTCATCGCCTGCCACCTTCTCCAGTACCAGTGGCTCCTTCTTCTATGGCCCCTGAGACACTGAGATGCATGAAGGAGTTGGCATACTCTTTGCTTCCCTGGGTCATGGCCAGACCTTCCCTTGCCTACCATCATTCAGCGACTTAATCTAATCCATTCATCTCCAGTATCTGGTCAGTCGCTTGATAATAGGATCTACCAGCCTCCAGAACTCTTCCTTCTTTCTCATGTTCATTATCTGGCTCAAAGTCTTTCCCTCCAACCCCAAGTACTCCCCTCCTACCAGATGGCTTAAATACACATGTTGACATCCTCTCACATACACTGGCCTCCCAGTTCATCTACTTCTTCCACTCCGGTGACTTCACCTTCATGTCACCTCAGTGACCCAAAGAGATGGTGGGTCATACCCTAAATTTCACCATCACTCAGACTAGTGTCATCTCCTTGATTCTTAACTCACAAATCACCCCTTCCTGACCATATCTCCCATCCCTTCATCTCTCTCTGTCCCTCCCTCCTCTCTCCTCCATTACCCTCCCTCCCTTTCTCTCTCTCTCTCTCTCTCTCTCTCTCTCTCTCTCTCTCTCTCTCTCTCTCTCTCTCTCTCTCTCTTCCTCTCTCCCCTCCTTCCTTTCCCCTCTGTCTCCTCCTCCATTCCCCTCCTTTTCCCCCTCTCCTTCTGCTTCTCTCTCTCTTTCTCTCTCTCTTTCCCTCTCTGTCTCTCTCTTTCTCTCTCTGTCTGTTTCTCTCTCTCTCTCTCTCTCTCTGTCTCTCTCTCTCTCTTTCCCCTTCCCTCCCTCCCTCCTACATTAAGTAAAGGAAAACCAGAGTCTGTTCCATACATTTTTGCAATGGTTAATACACTGTCTATCTATATCTAATTTCCATGTTCTCCTCTCCTCATCCCACGCCCCTCCCCAAGTGCAGGGCCTGGGTCTGCTCATTTTCTAATTTCTCTAGACTGGCTAATGTCTTCCCCTCCAAGGTTCCATCTGCTCTGTATATACCTTGTCCATGCTGCCTCTTCTAGTAGAACACAAGCTCCTTGAGGGCAAGGACTGTCTGCCTTTTCCTTTGTATCACCAGGGGCACAGAATAAGCTCTTAATAAACGCTTGCTGACTGATTGACCGTGAGCTCCCAGCGGATGATTGTACTTGCTTGCTCCGCCTCCTGTCTACCCAAGACTCTAAGTTTCCTAAGGCCAGGCCGGCCCTGAGTCTATTCCTACTTCTTTCCCCCCAGATTATCAGCTTCTCTAAGGGCAGGGCCTGGTTCTGCCCATCTTGCTCTCCCATAACTTGACTTGGTTCAGAGCTGAACACAGTTGCTCAGTACAGACTTGCTGATTGATCCTTACAACTTCCGCTACTTATGTCTCCCCTTTGTCCCCATATAACTGGTCCTGACCTGTTGCGCAGCTCTGATCATCCTCCTGGCCTCATCCTTGATGCTGGGGTTGTCAGGTGGCGGCGGCTGCACCAGCGTGGTCACTTCGGTGCCCTGAAAGCCAAAGGTCATAGGCCATCCGAGGTCAAGTTCAGGCACAGCCAAGTCTGAATTCACAGGCCAGTAGGTACCAGAGGAGCCATCCATGTCTACGTCAGCATCTGCTCGGGGAAGGGATCCGGAGGCACTTCCCTGGGCATTGGCATTCTCCCGGGAGGCATGCTGTGGCTGCTGAAGATGTCGGCTCACATGAGCCAGCTCATCAGGACACAGGAAGTCAGGGGCTCCCTCATCAGCCAGGAAGCGTCGGTAGGCCTCAGCTCCCCCCTCAGCAAGGGCATCTAAGGCCAGCCGGTAGTATTCCTTGTAGTGGGGGGGCAGGTAGTCCGGGGCTAGGGGGTTGTCCCCCTGGGAGGAGCTCTGAGATCGTCGAGCCATGGCAGTCGGACCAGGGAGCTGCAACAGAAGGGAAAACAGTGTCACACAAAAAGACTAGATTAGGACCAGGGCTTCTAGCAAGACAGTGACCTGTCCTTCAAAGTCTAAGGAAGCACAAGCCATGCCCCGCCAGACACATCCACAGAATACATCCCATCCTGCACACATACAGGGTCTGCTTCAGAACACCACACAATCAGCACAAACACAGACAACCACGTGGCCATATATGGGTAGAGAGACGGGCTACATTCCTGAGAAGCCCCTGAGAGGTCAGGGTTCGCTGGGAAAGCCAGACACAAGGGTGAGCTGGATGGGTTCTCCCTGAAGGTTCGGGACATGAAATACTCTGGATTCTACAGGAACAATGGACCCACCTTATGGCTGGTAGGTCAGACCCACTAGTATCCTTCTGGGTTTTCCCATTATCCCCCAAGGCCAGGGGATCAGGATACCTCAGTATCACATGACTTAGAGTTATATAGCACCTTAGAAGTAATGCAGTCTAAGTTTCTCAATTTTGTAAAGAAACTGAGGCTCAAAGAGATTTAGGGAACTCCCTCTCCTCCACTAATCTTAGCTCCCTTCATGATCACCTCTAGCCAGGGATTCGAGACCCCAAACCTCATTACCCCTATCATTTCTGCTGGAAAGCAGATACGACCTGGAACACATCCCCAACAAGAACCCCTCAAAACTCCCTATAGCCAAGGGTCTAAGCCCCAAAGATTTAGCCTGCTCTTACTAACACACGAGAAAAGGAAATAACCCAGGTGTCCGGGCCTGAGCGGCCTCCACCCAGCCTGGAGGGGAGCAGAGAATATTGCATCAGGCGACACCCAGGCCCCTCCCCTGTAGCATAGTGGGGCAGGGCCTGAACAGCCCAGGGGCGGAGACCTGCAGCCCCAGGTTGCCTTTACCTGGGCGGGGAGAGGTAGGAGGAGGGTCCAGCCACGCCCCCTCAGTAGAGGCAGCTGGAAAACCCGGAGTGGAGAAGTCCAAGACCGTTAAGAGTCATAGCCCTTCCAAACCACCAACTGGAGACCAATTACTTTCCCATTTATACACACACACACACACACACACACACACACACACACACACACACACACATACTTATATACATACATGCACCACTACCACCACCACCATTACCTACTTGAACCCATATATTATTCTATCCATCCCACCCCATTTCACATAAACAAAATTTGCTGTTTGTTGTTAGCCTAAAAATTACTTACACACACATGCTGTTGTTATCCCCTGGAATTATACACACAAAAGCCTCAAACATATGCTTTTGTTAACTGTTTCACTAAACCTCCCCCCTTAAACAGAGAAATCCTCTTGTTAACCACCTGCAATCATACACATATATATATATGCACACAACACACAAGTTGCTACCTGCCCCACACTCTCCCCTCAAATTATATACACACTATTGTTTTTCCCCTGATACATTACTGTTACCTTCCTTCCAGAGATCAGAGAACCTGCTGGTAGTACCCAACACACATGACCCTACTGTTATCACCTTCCTCAAGTTCTATACACCATAACCCCTCACCATTACCACCTGACCATCCTCACCCCTAGACCTTACTGTCATCTCCCCTCACCAAACATATACACACACACACTTATGAATGAAAATTATTTATCCTTATACCCAGACTCTGAGATCCTGGGGGTTGGGGGAGGGGGAAAGGGAGGATGACACATGGGGTCAGAGTACCTGAGTTCAAATTGTAACTCTGCCTCTTACTACCTATATGGCCTTGGGCAAGTCACTTAACCTGGGGACCTCAGTTTCCTCACCTGTGAAAGGAGGGGAGTTGGACTATGTGACCTCGGGCTGAAGTCTCTTTCAACTCTAAATCTTTGATCCTATGAGGTTACATACACACATACACACAAGGCTCCTGCTGCTCCTCTAAAGACCCCTAATTATGCTCGGCAAACAGACCCTACTCCACAAAGGTCCCAAATTTATCTCCTCAGGACCCTAATTACCCTCCTTCCTCTCATCCTACACTGGACAGAAGTGAGCCTTGTTTTCTAGGGAGTTCAGCTGCACACGTTAACTATACACAGGCAGACTTCACCTCTGGCCAAGCAACCATCAGTTCAGGACGTTAGGATGTTAGAAGTCATTTAATCTAGATGTCAACCCCCTCATTTTATAGATGGAGACATTTGAGACCCAGCACTTGCCCAGGGTCTCATGGGTATTAAGTGGCAGATTTGAGTTCAGGTGGTACAACTCCAAGTTCAGGACCCAAAGTCCTGGGCTCTTTGCAGGGTACCCCACCTCTGAGGTGGATTGACCTTGTGACAGACAACCACTGACATATCATGAGGCAGCTGGGTGGTATAGTGGACACAGTGCTGGGATTGCAGTTAGGAAGACCTGAGTTCAAATCTAACCTTAGATGCTTACTAGCCATATGTCCTTGGACAAGTCACTTAACCTCTGTCTGCCTCAGTTTCCTCAATTGTAAAATGGGGATAATAATAGCACCTACCCAATGGGGTTGTTGTGATGGTTAAATGAGATAATAGGCATGTATAAGTAGGTACTTAATAAATGTTAATTTCCTTCTTTTTCTTCCTTCCTCCTGGTTAGACAAAGTTTCTCACATGCTACATATGGGTACAAACTAGATAACCATTTTTCTTTTCCTTTTTTTAAATCTGTAGGAAAAAAAATGAGGAAAGGGACCAGGTCCATGATTTCATTGGCATAAGCAGATCCCAAACAAGGAAACTCCCTTTACAATGCTGGTCAACATAGTCTCTGCAATTTCCAGGTTTAAGAGTTGCCTAGAGCACTGAGAAATAAGTGACTTGCCCAAAGTCCCATGGTCAGTGTGTTTCAAAAGGCAAGATTTGAACATAGCCTTCCTGGCTCTTGGGCAAACTCTTTCCATTGCAGGAAAAACAAAAACTAAAAAAGCAAAGGAAAAAACAAATACATTTTTACTAAATTCTTGATTCTTGAAAACTTAAGTTACCCCACTAAAGACCCAATTTATCCAGATTTCATTATTGCCCTACCTATATACATACACTAACTACTACCTTCAAAAACTCTGCAGTCACCACCCCCAAAGCCTCTGCAGTTAAAAAGCTCCCTTCCTCCCTCACCCCCAAAAATTACTACCATCTTTCCCCAATGACCAGGAATTTGGTCCTCCCCCTCATAGGAATCACAGGCAGTAATTTGCCAGGATGTGTTGGGAAGGGGGCATGGAGTGGGGAATGGGTAAGAGTATGTGGCTCAAGAACTGGTACCATGATATCTCCCAAGCAGACCTCCTTTACTGGCTTCCCTAGAACTGAAAAAGCCAAAGACACCTCTTTACCACCAAGGGAGAGAAGGCTCTGAGGTATATACTCCCCATCTAGAAATGGAGAAATATGACACTTAATGGATCTCAAATGTCTTACAAGTGTAAGCAGATCTTATTGCCTATGGTTTTGGCCATTTCAGACTTAGCCTTGATTCTCTAGGGATGTGCCCCCATACACACACCCTCCCTGGATTTGTCATTCTTCCCCAGGCCCTTCAACTCTCCAGTTACCCTCATAGATTCATAAAATATTATCACTGGAAGGAACCTTGCATAACCTTACACGTCTAATCCAAACCCTTCATTAGACAGATGAAGTAACTGAGATTCAGAGAGGAAAGTGACTAGACTATGGTCACACAGCATGCCCTGTCCCCTATCACAGGATATGTGACAAGCCTATATAACACACACAAGTGTTAGTGCTGGAATTTAAAAACCAGGCCTAGTGTTTTTTTCCAGGACACTACAACCAGCAATTTCTCCTTTGTAAACTCCTTCCTCTTCCAGTCCTATCACCCTAAAAATTAGGGGAATTCCAACAATTAGCTCTGTCCAAAAATAGAATGGGCAACCTCTGGAGGTAGTGGGTCTCCAAGTAGGGATTTGGTAGAGGGGATTCCTGCCCAGGTACAAGATAGCTTCACCACCAAAGTCCCTTCCAACTCTGGTATTCTGTGATTCCTCAATGACCCTCATTTCTTCTCAACTCATTTCTTACCATCCTTATCTTCATTATTCTACTCTTTCTTCCTTCAATGCCCCTCATTTCTCCCCCATAATCCATTCTCTCCCTCCCTACTCTTTCCTAATCCTCAGTCTCCCTCTGTTTCTCCCCTCTACTGATCTCATTCTCCCCAATCCCCTTTTCTCACCATCTCCTTCCTTTTCCCCCAGCCCTTTTCTCCCTTTAAAAATCCTCTTTTTTTCCCCAAATTCTTCTCGTCCTACCCCAGTCACTTCCTCAAAAGCTTAACCTTCTTTCATTCACTTTTACTCTTTCTCCCCTCCATCTACCTCCTAGCTGATGGCTAAACTACTGATAGTCTTTGGGTGCCTCCCTCAACCCTGGCGGCCTTAGGGAAAAGACAGGCCTCCTCATTCAAGTAGTTTATCCTGAGTACCAAGGAAACTGGCCTCCCAGGTCTGAAAAGCAAAGTTCTTAGCCCTTTATCTTCTCTGGGTTTAGGCGGTCCTTCCTGGGACACGATCAAGGCAAAAACAGGAGGGATTCAATTCAGACAACAAGAAATAGTCCTAAAAGAGGTTCTGAGATTTAAGACACAGCCAGCTGCCCTCTGAAGAATAGGCGAAGAGGCTAAACATCTTCCTCCTAGAGCAGGGTCTGCTCAAAACCTAAGCCCAGGGGAGCCCCTGACCCTACAGGAATCACAAAACCCCCAAAATAGGCAGGGCACTAAGAGGATTGAGCAGTGGCGGGACCATAGCCACAACTGACCACATGAGGTCTGTGAATCAATCAATCAATAAGCATTTATTAAGCACCTTCTAGGTGCCAGGCATTTGGTAGGTGCTGGGGTATACCAAACCAAAATTAATTAGTCCCTGCCTTCAGGGAATTTACATTCTGTCACAACTACATTCAATGTGTCCAGAATAACCTCAGAGATAGTTCAATGGTCCCCATATAGCCCTCAA